TTATTATATAATGACAGTTTCCTGCTAAGCAACATGTGTCAGTATCGTCAGTGAAACGATTTACAAGCAAAACACACTGTAGATGACAGTAGGCGGTGTTTACCTGTGTCTTGGACACATTATCAAACCATTACTATGTGACTTAAAGTCGCATAGGTTGGTCTCCAGTTCGTAGGTTAATTATTATATAGTTTACTTACAGTCTTAAATATTTGTTATATTCCTGACAGTGAAAGGCGTGGTCGTGGACCTGGTCGCGGGGGCGTTGATCCCCGGAATGCCCTCCAGGTAGACTCCAGTTAGAGAAAGAACATACATAAGATACAACACTACTGGAGTGAGAGATATGGGAAGAAGTGCAAAATAATCCCAGTGAAAACCAGGAGTGCAGTGGGCACAATAAGGGAACACTGTATCAACATTCGCGGCCTCAGATTATTGAGCATTTTACCAGAAGATATCAAAAACACTGCTAGAACAAGTGTAAAAGTCTCTCTTCAAGAGGAAACTAGACTAGTATCTTCACCAGGTGCCAGATCAGCCAGGCTGTGATGGGTATGTGGGGCAGCGGGCCACTAACAGCAACGGCCTAGTTAACCAGGCAAACTCCAGGCGAGCCTGACCCATGCCCGGGCTCCGGGAGTATAAAGACTCTCGGAACTCGTCATAAGTAAAGGTAAAATGATCATACCAAAAAGAAGATTGTGTATCGAATAGTATTGAGGAGTGAGGTGTAATACTGCAAGGTTTGAAGAATTACACACATGTCCAACTTCTGGGTATGTTTATTTGTAGACGTTTCGCTATCCAGTGGCTTTATTAATACAAAATCAATGACGTAATATTAGGGAAGACTGTATAACAAAATTTATACAAAAGACAAGGTAATCAGTCCTTCAGCCTTGAAGACTACGGTTCTCGTCACAAACTTCGAGACAGAGACATTGATTACCTCGTCCTTAAATTTGTATTGATAAAATCACTGGATGGCGAAACGTCTATAAATAAAGATACCCAGATGTTGGACATGTGTCTAATTCTTCATCTTGTCGGTATTCATGTACATTCATGTACAACTGCAAGGTTTACACACACAAGCACTACACTCCTCTCAGCTCCGCCACCGACCTTGTTAAATTTGTATTGTATTTTATGAAGTGCTAAATCCGTGTTGATTATTCAGCATAAGGAGCGTTGCTGGCTCGATCCTCCGTTCTCTGATACCGGCCCCTTCTCTGACCAGTCAGGCAACTTGTTGAGAATTATAGAGGTTATTGCCCCTCGCAGCATGATCCTGGAGGAGGTTTCCTAGATGCTGGTCTGATAAGTCAGGCTGTTGGTGCTAGCAGTAGGCACCACATCCCGACTGAGCAGGAACTGTCTGGAGGAACCCGTCATTTTCCTTCAACACAGCTTGATGATCCCCACCAGATCTTATTAACAACTTTTGGAGCTTGTTGAGTTACTGCATTTGATTGATCAAGTGGGGGATGGGGGGGGTGGGGAGTGGATGCTGCACGATGTACAACGGAGAAGACATGTACGCTACATCTCATAATCTATGTCAAATACTTGAAGGCCAGATACCTAATCTGGATACTAAAATAACTTACTGGAGTGAGAGATAAGAATTTGAAGTAAGGAGTAAACATAGTGAAATAAGTGGCGCAATTATCGAGATTTTGTAGCTTTATAATAACTGTGCTCTCGGCTCACAACCAAAGGATCTGGTTTTGATCTGGTGCACTTGTAGAAGTCTCTGGCACGTTTCCTCACGCCTAGTGTTACTGTTCACCTATTAGTAAATAAATACTTTGGTGTTTCCAAACTGTTAGTGTCACTCTGGGTGTGGTAGTATACTTAGATATAAATTACCTTTGAAATGAGCTCGGAGGTTTCAAAAGACAGGTGAGCAAACACTAGGACATATTTATTAGAAAACGCTTCAATCCTGGGACCTTGATTCAGTGTCTTTTTAAACCACTTTGTGAGTATCAAATACCAAGGTTTATATGGCCTCAAGTGAATAATAACTCTTATGTCTTCAACGATGTAAAAAAAGTTGGTAAGTAATACACATGTGCAACAATCAGGTATCTTTATTCTGAAATATTTCACCTACACAGTAGGCTTCTTCAGTTGAAAACAGAAGGCAGCAGCAGTAGTAGTAGAGACGTAAAGACGATGTAATCAGTCCATCACCCTGGAAGACGTAGTTTTGAGGTTGTCAGTCCCTCGGTCTGGAGAAGAGTTCTGCTTCATGGTTTGGAGCAATTTTCATGTTCACGATGTAAAAAAATATCTGAGATGCACCACTTTACAATCTTGTATTAGGAAGACTGGTTCCTGTCATTTTTTCTATGATATATGCTGGGATAGGAGACACCTGTGAGCGGGGATGTGTGTTGTTATCAGCAACGTAACTCTTCAGGTAGCTGCTTGATGTACATGAAGGAACGTAACTACTCAGATAGATGATTGACAAATGAATCGTTTAGGTGGGACGACAGTGACGTGGGTGAGGCCTTGGTAAGAGTTTCCCTGCAGACGCTTAAGATTGGCAAGTTGTATCAGCAGGTATGGTCAAGAGAGAGTTACCTGGAGGTTATTCCGGGGATCAACGCCCCCGCGGCCCGGTCCATGACCAGGCCTCTCGATGGATCAGGGCCTGATCAACTAGGCTGTTACTGCTGGCCGCACGCAGTCCAACGTACGAGCCACAGCCCGGCTGATCCGGCACTGACTTTAGGTATCTGTCCAGCTCTCTCTTGAAGGCAGCCAGGGGTTTATTGGCAATTCCCCTAATGCTTGATGGGAGGCTGTTAAACAGTTTTGGGCCCCGGACACTTATGGTGTTTTCCCTTAGTGTACCAATGGCGCCCATACTTTTTATTGGGTGCATTTTGCATCGCCTGCCCAGTCTTTTACTTTCGTAGGGAGTGATTTCTGTGTGCAGATTTGGGACCATTCCTTCCAAGATTTTCCAAGTGTAGATTATGATATATCTCTCCCTCCTGCGTTCCAACGAGTACAAGTCAAGTGCTTCCAAGCGTTCCCAGTAGTTAAGGTGCTTGACAGAACTTATACGTGCAGTAAAGGATCTCTGTACACTCTCTAGATCTGCGATTTCACCTGCTTTGAATGGAGATGTTAATGTACAGCAGCATTCCAGCCTAGAGAGAACAAGTGATTTGAAAAGGATCATGGGCTTGGCATCTCTCGTTTTGAAAGTTCTCATTATCCATCCTATCATTTTCTTTGCACGTGAGATCGTGGCACTGTTGTGATCCTTGAAAGTGAGATCCTCAGACATTACTACTCCCAGGTCCCTTACATTATTTTTCCGCTCTATTGTATGGCCGGAGTCAGTAGTATACTCTGTTCTAGTTATTATCTCCTCCAGTTTTCCATAACGGAGTAGTTGGAATTTGTCCTCATTGAACATCATATTGTTGACCGTTGCCCACTGGAAAACTTTGTTTATATCTTCTTGGAGGTTAACCGCGTCCTCAGCAGATGACAGCCTCATGCAGATCCTAGTATCATCCGCAAAGGATGATACGGTGCTGTGGTGTACATCTCTGTTTATGTCTGATATGAGGATAAGGAATAAGATGGGGGCGAGTACTGTGCCTTGTGGAACAGAGCTCTTCACTATGGCAGCCTCCGATTTAACTCTGTTGACCACTACTATGTGTGTTCGATTTGTTAGGAAGTTGAAGATCCATCTCCCCACTTTCCCAGTTATTCCTTTAGCACGTATTTTATGGGCTATTACGCCATGATCGCATTTGTCAAATGCTTTTGCAAAGTCTGTGTATATTACATCTGCATTCTGATTTTCTTCCAGTGCATCCAAGGCCATATCATAGTGATCCAGTAGTTAAATAACAAAAAGGCACAATACCGTGACTTTGTCAATGGTCCAAGTCGGACCGAAACGTCGTCGTAAGCTTCTCTCTTTTATGTGCGGGTTTTGTGTGTGGATCCAGTAGTTGTGAGAGGCAGGAGCGACCTGCCCTGAACCCATGTTGCCCTGGATTGTGCAGTGAGTTTGCATGGTGTGTATTATGATGACAGTTCGCTCAGTGTCGAGCTTTATCAAGTCATGATTTGATAAAGTTCAACATTGAGCGAAACGTTGCCAGAATAAAGACAGTTGAAAATGCGTCTCTTGACCAAACTCCACCTCTCTATTTAGCTATTTTTTTTTTACGACGTTTTAAAGTTTCTTGTAAATCTACAAATACTTTAATTTAGGTTAGGATACATTAACTATAAATAATATATATTTAGCTATAAATAAGCAAATTAAAAAAAAAAGGTCGCAACACATTAATTGTGGTGGTCGATGGTAACCAAGATTCGTTCAGATCTACACGACCATCACTGGTGTTCTGGGGGAGGGTGAGTCACCAACTTGCTGCCTTCTCATAGTTTTCTACGTTAGTAAGAGAGAGGGGGGGGGTCAGCGCCCCTTTACTTATCTGTATCAGTTAGGAGAAAGCTGGAGTAATTGACACTTTACTGCAGTTGATACCTTTATGTGTGACAACTGTGTGGGCATCTTCATGTAATTTACTTCACCTTGTTGATATGTGCGAACCAATCTGGTTCTAGGATGAAAGTGTAAGAGATTATGAACTAGCATTAGTGGGGTGTAGGAGGCTGTGTGACGTAAGATTGATAAACTAGTATTGGTGGGGAGGGTTGCGGCCGGTGTGGTGGTGGTGGTGGCGTGTCGCCAGGGCATTGTGGGGGAGGGCGGGTTGATGGGAGGGGAAGACCATAATTTGGGGGTGGAGATGGGGATGGGAGCAAAGTATAGCGTGTTTTTCAGGTGATGCTGGCCAGGGGCACCAGAGCTACAAGAGGCACCGGGCACGTCTCTCCCAGACCAGTAACCCGCCCAACCCTCCAGCCGGCGCTACCGTGCCCGTCCACTCACCCACCCACCCTTCCGTCCGTCCGTCCGTCCGTCCTCCCACCCATCCCACCCTTTCGTCCGTCCTCCGTGTGCAGCATTCGGCAGAGCCTGCTCTAGGGCAGGTCAAGTTCATCGACCCACGTGGTACACTATATTGTTCCTTGTGGAAAGTTTGTGTGGTGCAGCATGTGAGGCACACGGGGGTAGTGTGGGTATGTTGTGGCTGCTGCAAAAGCCTGCCCACCCTCACCTGTCTTACCTTATTTAACACTCGGTTGAAGGTGAATCTGACACACTTAATACATGAATCGGCCACACTTGTTACCAGTGTTGACAACGCAAACCGTGTGTGGTGGCAGTTATTGTGTGTAGACACTGGTGTGGGGTGGGAGTGTAGTGGTGTGGTAGTGGTATATGAGTGAACAGTGTGTGAAGGTGGTGGAGGCTGGTGTCGGGGGCGGGGCCCCCGGCTGGTGCTTCACCAAGAGTGTTACCACTATGTACGGCAGTTACACCTCGGAGGGTGCTGCCTCCACCCACCTGTATGGCACACAGTACTCCGGCTCACCTGGTGCCCTCTCCTCCCCGCCAGGAGAGTCCTTAGTGTTCACGGTGCCCCCGCCTCCCACCTACCCTCCGCCATGCACCACCTGCGGCCGTAACAGCTCCACACCTGCACACACCTACCACCAGCCCTCGTCAGCTCTCACCCAGTCTGAGGAGGAACGCACTCTGGCGCTGCAGCTGCGAGCTGCTGCTATCTTCAACAAGACGAACGTGACCCTGCCTGCTGCAGCAACCCTCGCACTGCCACCCCCAGCCCTCACCTTGCCCCCTCCTCCTACAACCACAGCCACCACCTTCCCATATCCCCCTCCCTCACACCCTGCCCCGCCCACTACCCATTACGACACCAGCACCTCGTACTGCACGTGTGATTCATCCCCCACCAGTAACTGCTCAAGCTCCTCTTCACCGCTGCCCTCCTGCCCCTTTCACCCCTCCCCCTGCATCAGTACCGCAGCCGCAGCCTACCTTACCCCATCCACCATGGTGACCTTCTCCAACACAGCCACCACCACCACTGCTTACCTTGACTCTCCGTCTCCCTCAGGTCAGTCTTGGCCAGGACCACCAAAGTACTCGACCCCCTCCACCCCCAATGCTCCCACCTCTGTATTGGAGTCAGTTGTTTCCATGTTAATAATCATACACGTGCTGCAGAGCCTGGTCTGGACTAGGCGGCTCGCCTCGCTCCCTTACTCACTCGCTCCACCTCTTTAAACATTTTTTCCCCGAAAGTCTCCGAACAGTGTGGAGACCTTCCGTAGTGTGTTGTCTTGCAGCTGCTGTCTTGCCAGCGACTGGAAGAGTGCCCCGCTCCGCCCCGCCCCGCCCCATTTTGCCCCGCTCCATTTTGCCCCGCTCCGGCCCTCCCCGCTAGTACTATGGTTATCGGGTGTCCTGTCTTGTTTGCCCCGCTGACTAAGGCCCGACACACACTAACAGCTGGCAAGCTGAACTCTGTGCTGCGGCCCTCTTAATGCAGGTCCTCCCCTCCTCCCCCTACCCCCTAAACAGCCGTTTTTCTGATAACATTGTTTTCGCCCTCCCCCCTACCCCTAAATGCCCGTCTTTTTGATAACACTATCTTCGCCCTCCCCTCCTCCCCCCTAAATGGCCGTCTTTCTGATAACACTATCTTTGCCCTCCCCTCCCTCCCTCTCCTGCCCCCTCCCTTCTTGCTGATAACGCTCCCTCCCTCCCCACCCCACCCCTCCCCTCCCCTTACTCGTCTTGCTGATAACACTTCCCTCTCCCACCCACCCTGATTCCCCCCCCCCCTCACTTTTCGGTCTCTACAAGAGGTTCACTCCCCATGCCGTACACAAAGTACTCTTCCCACCCTGCTAACATCTCTCTTTCAGGCAACTACGTTATCATCAGCTTCTGCATTTCAGGTAACGCGTTTACTGTAAACTTGTTGCGGTGGCGAGTTTGAGGGAATTGTCTAAATTTCCTGTCGTCAGTAATTTTAAGTAACAAGTGTTTTAAAAAGTGGACGTTGATGTATTTCAGGTACCTCCGTAATAAATCCATGTGAAAAGCTTTCAACGTAAACCTTTCTCTTGTGGGGTACAATGAGTACCCTGCTAGATGTGTGCCTTCCCTTGAGGTAACTGCTAGGAGTCGTGCCTCTTGGAATATCTTGCTAGACGTGCCCTCATTAGTTTAACATCGTCTGCAAACAGAAACAACTAATACAGTTGCCACTTGTAGATCATTTACATAGAAGAGTGACGGTCCTTGTATTAACCCTCAGAGTACCCTCGCCCTTCCCGACACCTCTGGTACGGCCATTCTTTTTCTTCTCTCCTTTAGGCCTGCTGCAGTGGTCTTTCTTTCTTATGTTCTTTAGGTAGACTTGGATGCATTGCAACACTTGCTGTGACACCTACCTGCTCTACCAGTATATACATCAGTCTTGGGTGAAGTACTGGCCCTAAAATTGTCTTGCGGTCCAGGAATATGTAGCCCGCCTGTCCATGTCTCTACTTAATTTATATTACTGTGTTAGTATTCCAGCAGGTTAGTAAGACAAGACTTAACGTCTCTCAAACCATGTTCGTTTTCTTTGATAAATTCCCTCTTCACCAAATGTTTTAACACTGCCTTCCTGAGAATCTCGGGAATATTTCACATTGTACAAATCCATACAAATCACCCAGTGACTCTAATCCTTTAAGTGCCCATAGAAATGCGTTGTCGGGTTCCAGTAACTTGCGTTGTGTCCAGTTCCTGCCATATCCTCACCTTTTGTGGTACTAATTCCCCTATAGTGTTCTCTCTTATCTCCCTCTGTGTGTGTGCGCTCGCTGTTGATGAAATAGTCAAAGACTGGTATCCACTTATCGTTCCTCGTAATACTGGACAATCTTAACATGTGCCTGGTTATCTGTAAGTTTCATGTAGTCATCGAGGTCACCGCCCCCAGGACCCGGTCACAGACCAGGTCTTTGGTTGCAGGCCTGATCAGTCAAGCTTTTGTTCCCTACCGCCCGAAGTCCGACGTATGCACCCTGAACCCGGCTGATCAGGAACAGATTTGAGGAATTTGTCGAGCTCCTAATGAAGACAGGTAGGGGGTTGTTAGTATTCCCCCTTATCACGAGGGGAAGATGTTGAAGCACACAAAGACCTTGTGTTAAAGTTGCACTTTTATGACTGGTAAAGTTTGACCTTTATTGGTGTGGAATTGGCGAAAGGAGTGGCGAGGGATGGGTTACCTGGTTACCTGGAGGTTATTCCGGGGATCAACGCCCCCGCGGCCCGGTCCACGACCAGGCCTCCCGATGGATCAGGGCCTGATCAACTAGGCTGTTACTGCTGGTCGCACGCAGTCCGACGTACGAGCCACAGCCCGGCTGATCCGGCACCGACTTTAGGTATCTGTCCAGCTCTCTCTTGAAGGCAGCCAGGGGTTTATTGGCAATTCCCCTAATGCTTGATGGGAGGCTGTTGAACAGTTTTGGGCCCCGGTAACCTGGAGGTTACTTGGAGGTTATTCCGGGGATCAACGCCCCCGCGGCCCGGTCCATGACCAGGCCTCCCGATGGATCAGGGCCGATCAACTAGGCTGTTACTGCTGATAAAGCACTAGCTAGTGCAGAATCAAGTTTTGTAGCCAGTGTTAAGTTATGAGGGACGCCAGTACAGGGTTAGAATGTTATTCTGTCAGGAACACCAGTTCAGATTCATAATGTTGTCTTGAGTACACAAGTACAGAACTAGTTCTGGTGTACAAAATGTATAATGTGTTGCGAGGAATAAGAGAGAGCGTGTGGTGGGCATGATCTGTGATGCGTTCTGATTACTCCTTGGCAAATGTTAATCATAGCAGCTGATAATGAGAAAACGTAAATCATTGGTTGACAGCGCCAGCCTCCCGTACCGCATTTTTGTTGCCACTGATGACGTTTGCTTGAACCGTGGCCAAAGTCTCTACTCGTGTAGGGGTGACACCACACCTCCACCCATATCTGGGCGCAGTCCTTCACGCCCGCAGTGTTGCCAGGCGTGAGGGCATTCGTGAACGTATTTCAGAGGGGTGGCTGGTGTGTGTGCGGGTATGCATGTGTGGCTTGCCAGATAGATAACTCACTATAATGGCTCGCCTTCCTTACCTCTCTGAAGAGGCTGTCAAAAGAGAGGCCTGGTCTGAAACCAGATAGCAGGGACGTTGATCCAGGAAACAATCTAAGGGTAACCAACTATTCAAGGAGAATTCTGGTATCGCCAACATGACCTGTGTATCGTTACTGCTTCGATGTACAGGTTTTTGATTAATTCATCGGGGAAAACCTGGTACAAGGCTACCCGTTCAGTGTTACCAGCACTATGGCGGAGGAGCAACAATACATTATTGTCTAAGAACACACGAGAAGGTGGGCTAACTAATGATACTATAGTGGGCCATGGCAGCAGCGACCACCTCTACAGTGATCATCGCCAAGAGTCTGACAAGGCAGAGACCTGATCGTGACTGAAGAAAGTAGGGTCGAGCTTCCACCACCAGACCAGATTCATGGAATGCTCTATTTATAAAGAAGTGTAAAGTACCACTAGCACAAGCCCTCAGTATTCTTTGGAGAAAGAGCTTAGATCTAGGTGAAATACCGGAGGCCTTAAAGAGTGCAGACATAGCTCCTTTGCACAAGGGAGGCAGTAGAGCACTAGCTAAAAATTACAGACCAGTAGCCCTAACCTCTCACATCATAAAAATCTTCGAAAGAGTGATGAGACGGCAGATTACAAATTTCATGGACCAGCACAACCGACATAACCCGAACCAGCATGGTTTTAGAGCAGGACGATCATGTCTGTCACAACTGCTGAACCATTATGACGGAATCACGGAGGCATTGGAAGACGACCAAAACGCAGATGTGATTTACACAGATTTTGCAAAGGCGTTTGACAGATGCGATCATGGAGTGATAGCGCACAAAATGAAGGCCATGGGCATTACGGGGAAGGTATGCAGATGGATTTTCGATTTCCTAACACACACAACACAAAAAGTAGTAGTGAACAGGGCAAGATCCAGCATCAGCGAGGTCAAAAGCTCAGTGCTCCAGGGCACTGTCCTGGCACCTCTGCTGTTTCTCATCCTCATAGCAGACATAGACAAAAACACCCGGCACACTTTTGTATCATTTGCAGATGACACTAAAATAAGCATGAAAGTCAGTACAGTAGAGGACACTGAAAAAGTACAGGAAGACATAAACAGGGTTTTCCAGTGGGCAGTGGAGAACAACATGACGTTCCATGGTGATAAGTTCCAGCTGCTTAGGTATGGAAAGAATGAAGAACTCTAAAGGAACACTACAAAACTCCAGAGGGTCACCAAATAGAACGTAAGGAACACGTAAAAGACCTTGGAATAATTATGTCAGCGGACATTTCTTTTAAAAACCATAACAAGACAGAGATCACGACAGCCAGGAAGATGACGGGGTGGGTATTGAGAACTTTCAAAACTAGGGAAATAATGCCGATGGTGACACTCTTCAGATCGCTAGTTCTCCCTCACTTAGAATATTGCTCAGTGCTGACGGCCCCGTTCAAGGCAGGAGAAATATCTGAGCTGGAACAAATACAGAGATCGTTTACGGCTCACATTGAGCCTGTAAAGCACCTAAACTACTGGGAACGCCAGCAAGTCTTGAACATGTATTCATTGGAGCGGAGGAGAGAGGTACATGATAATATATACCTGGAAGGTACTCGAGGGCTTGGTCCCAAATCTGCACACTGCCATAACAACATACTGGAGTGAGAAATATGGGAGGAAGTGTAAAATAAACCCAGTAGGAGCAGGGGTGCGGTGGGGACAAAAAGAGAACACTGTATCAACATCCGGGGTCCCAGACTATTCAACATCTTACCAGAAGATATCAGAAACACGGCTGGAACAAGTGTAGAAGCCTTCAAGAGGAAATTGGACAAGTATCTTCACCAGGTGCCAGATCAACCAGGCTTTGATAGATATGTGGGGCAGCGGGCCTCCAGCAGCAACAGCCTGGTCGACCAGGCAAGCACCAGACGAGC